GTTCCTTTTCACTGTCTTTCGCTCCTTTTCACTGTTTCTTGGCGCCGAGGCATGGGTATAGAGCCGGCTTTAGAATTCTTTCCACGAACAAAATGTTCGGAAAATATTCATTTTATAGCGTTTGATTTTTAAAATTACTATTATTCAGAAATATGTATAATAATGACAAAAATAGATGGGTTGAAAAAATAACCAAATTGATGCCACTCTAGTATTGTTCTATGCTTTTGATTTCGAATTTTGGCGTATGACAAATGAAGTGAATTTTAAAACCTACCAAAGACATTTAAATAAAGTGATTAAATGATAAGGTGCTACTTGTGAACTATTATAATTTAAGATTTAATTGTTACCTATATTTTTAGTACGATTTGTGACATTTTTGGACTATTAGCAATTTTTGTGTTATGTTGAATTTTGTATTTGTTGCGACGAAAATACTTCTTCTAAAGGAGTGCCATATTTTCATCATTAATAAATGAATATCTAGTATAGCCTTGTAGTAACAATAAAATTGTAACATTTTCTGTCGTCTTTTTATTTCATCCACCTTTTTTTAAGGTATTTTTATTTAGAAATACACTAAACAAATAACTAAAGAATATATTTCAAAATAGCATCAATCCTAATAAGGAACCAGCTTTATTAAGTCTTACCCTTCCTTATTTAAAACAAGGGTTGAAAACGCTTGAATCCGTCTTTTTATTTTAATAGAAACATTTTATAACAAAAAACTCTGTTTCCCCTTTCATTCCGGCCCCAGGGGTTGTTAGGCACTTTGTTGGAAAGGCCTTGAACAGCAGAATTCAAAAATTTATCTTACTTAATAATCTCAATCATCTGTATGTGTTTTTATTTGGTTCACACAAAATATCAAACTGTCATGTTTATTTTTTTGACAAATATTGGGAAGTAAAGTAATAACATTTTAAACACCTTGTTCGTTCATTATGGTTATAATTGAGTCGTCTACTTGCAAAACCAGCTATATCCAAAAATGTTCTAAACTAATTTTGAAGTGAGGTAATACGCTTTATTACCGGTATATTCCGATTTATATCATAAGCGACTCCATCTGACTGAAATCTGCGCCCAAATATTGGGATGCATTGCTGTGCCGGCTACATCCAACGTAAAGTATGTTTCAAAAGCGGCCCCATCCAAATTATTGAATTAACCATCAATGAAATGTTCTCAAAATTTGTGATGTTTCCAAAGAAATACCACAACCCGATATTTAAATACCAGTATACAATTCGTTTAACTTTCTTAAAAATTTTCTTCTTTTTTTTTTCTTCTGAAATATTGTTTGTTCTGTAACCTACCTCACCCAGGTACCATAATTTATTAATTCCATTTATTAAATAAAATATTGCATTCATATTAAATTCAAAATCCATCATTTAACGAAAAATCTCCCAGATCCCAATCTTATTTACGATACCTAATAAATAATATCTATAACCCTGTTCTTAAGAGATCCACTTTTCGTGCACGTGTCTGGGAACCTAGACCAAGAGAAACACTTGATACACTTATCTCAAGTGCGTTTGAATAGTAACGTTCTTATCGATACAGAAAATTTTCAAGGAAAGTAATAAATCAGCCACCCCCTTTCCAACCAGATTCGTTTTTCGCTGGGAACTAAGACACAGAGACGTCACAAAAAGCCATTAAAACTGCTATAAGAACCCAGACCCAAATAAGCTCGGATTCATTCATTTTTTATTATTTGATGTGCAAGCATTCATTTTATAATTTTTCATTCAAGCAATCAATTATTTGTATCCAGTTATATAGTCTGTACCTTTCCTAAAACGTTCTTCCTAAACCACGTCTATCCTAAAATACTTTCTATTCCCGAAGGTGTCGACGCCTAACGTCCCGCCGTCCTACTTCCCTACCTTTCTACACTATCAATTCTAACACCACTTTAGTCTTTCCTACCATTATATTCATCCCGACGCTCAACGTCCAGACACCCTACTTCATTAAGTACCGTATTAAATACCTTCCTCCCAACCACGACGCTAGGCGCTTCGACGCAAGGCGACACTCAACGCTGCGACGTACCTAAATCTACGCCGTCACAACGCTAGATGAAAATCTAAAATAAATTGTACAGAGATGGTAAAATTTAACAGTAAGCTAACCAACTGGCGAATTGGCGCTGTTCGTTAACTCCGTTGGTCATCAACCTAACTAAAATATATATTGATAGCAAATGAACATGGTCTGCGTTTGAACGGGACTCGAGTGAGATCTCAGTAAGTAGTACCAATTGTAACATACTTTGCTAATTATTGCATCACATTTAAAGTATGAAAATAAAAGAGTTTAAATATAAATTTGTCTGGTTTTATTTATCAATTTGCACCAAACTTTGCATCGAATCTTGGTTTATCTTAATTAACATTATCACAACGTGGGTATATAAATTATCAATTAATTAACTAGATGATCACTTTTACTACTAGAGGAAAAAGGCCAAATACAGTAAAAAATAAAATAAACTTATGAGGTAAATAATAATATTTCAGAGAGTAAAATAACGATGAAAGGAGTATAGGGGGTGGGCAGTTACAGTTCTCAATTTTTCCAGATGTTCAAGTTTTTGTAATTTTATTTTATAATACAAAATATATGTAGGTATTAAAACCACATTTTCTGTATTTATAAAACTTGAAAAAATGAAAAAAAAAATCCCTTTTTATATTTGTAATGTATCTTACTATCTTAATCCAAACTTCACATTTCCATACCATCTTGATTATTGGAACAGGATTATTTCTTTTAATGTCCAATGTAACATATCTACATATCGTCACTTAAGTTTTAACACCACGTAAGTCATGTTTTGGCGGTTTTGACATTTTGATGCCATTTGGTAGAGAATCGGAAGACGCGTCGTTTCAGCCAATCAGAAAAAAGCAACGGTCAGGGGGTGGGCAGTTACAGTTCTCAATTTTTCCAGATGTTCAAGTTTTTGTAATTTTATTTTATAATACAAAATATATGTAGGTATTAAAACCACATTTTCTGTATTTATAAAACTTGAAAAAATTAAAAAAAAATCCTTTTTATATTTGTAATGTATCTTACTATCTTAATCCAAACTTCAAATCTCCATACCATCTTGATTATTGGAACAGGATTATTTCTTTAAATGTCCAATGTAACATATCTACATATATTCAGAAACGAATATTTCCTTCAAAGTTAGGAATATTGATATTCTTGCTAATATCTTCTAAAATGGATGCGGCCGGTTTTGCAAGTAGACGACTCAATTTATTAGTTTTGAAGATATAATAAAATTATTTAATTTAAAATAATTGTGTTTCATTAGACTTGTGAGTGTGTGACATTTTAAAATCATTTCCAACAAATTGTCACAGACACCTCCTGCTCTTTAAAAAAATTGAGTGGGTGGCTGTCATGTAGAGGGGATGAAAGGGGAGACTGATTTATATTATAAAATATATTAAAATAAAAATTAATGAATCTGGGCGTTTTTTACCTTTGTTTTAAATAATGAACCGCTGTTTTTAAAATAGGCACTTCAGCTGTTAAAGTTAAGGCTCCAAGAAAGGTCAAAAAGTTAAACATAGGTAACCCAACGAGTTTTCGGGGGAGGCTGCCAAAGTTAAGGCTACAGCAAAGGCGAAAAAGTTAAACAAAAGTAACCAACTAATTTTCAAGGGTCTGTGACTTGCCTCACCCAGGTAGCTTCACAATTTAATAATTCCAATTTATTAAAGAAAAGTTGCATTCAAATTCCTTTATTTTAACAAACAAAAACTAGATAATTAAATCTTACGTTTTTACGTCCCGACTACCCTGCTGATTATTTCCAAGTAAGCAACGCTTCAACGTATAAAACAATATAAAAATGTCAGAAATAGATGGTTAGTTAATAACTTAAAAGAGAATAATTATTGTAGAAATTGATTATTCAGTAACGTCACATCTGGATTGCCAGATGGACTCGTCTCAGGATGCATCTGCAGTTATACAACTGTAAAATTATTAAGAATCTGGTTTAGGGAAATGCTGCATATCCTCAACAATTCTTCAATTGTATACAGAATGAATCCTATGTTGATACATCGATCACTACTAGAGGAAAAGGGCCTATTTACAGTAAGTATAAATTATTACTTTGAATATCACAGAGAGGTAATTAAAGCCATGCTTTTTAAGGACCGAAGGGTGAGAGGTTACATGTCTTTAGTGATCTTAAATTTAGGGAAGATTTAGAAGTACTAAATATCATTTCAGCTTTGCAGAGAAAAAAAAAGACGTCCTAATGTAACTAGTTAATTGAAAAATATCTAGATAGTTATGCAGAAAAATTAAATATTTTTAATTCATTTTCTTCAATAATTGCCAAAAATGAAACCTCCAAATTTTAGTAAGTAAACAATAATTGAAGCAATATAAATAATTTTTATTATTAAAATACTATTAACCTTTAATCAAAAATCCAAAAGTTGAATGGGATGGGACGTCTATGACTATGGTTCTAACCTAAAATGTAAACTTACCTGTGAAATGAAACACGGCGATTTAAATAATCCACTTTTTTGCCCACTAAGCAGTGTCTGACCATACTTGCCTAAATAATTCAATATAAAACACGAAATATTAAATTTGTTATAACAATAATAAACAAATGGTGGCTGCATATCAAGCAGAAAATACTATGACTCTACAATGAACTAGCTGTTGCCTGTGGTTTTGCACGCGTAGAGTCTCGTTTTTAATATAAAAAAATACATGACTATTCGTATTGATATTTCATGTATTTATTTATTTTTACGATACTCCCCATTTCCCCCCTCCTTAAAATATGAAAATCTAAAAACGGGGCGCGCGCGCCTCCTCCCTGAAATCGCAACTGCCAATCCGTACGTGGGTGTCCTGAAGATATTTTCCCATAGATTCACTTAAGGAAAGGATTTAAACAAAAGATGCAAGAAAAAAATACAATTAGTATGGTTGTAAATATCTGTATTGCAATCAATTACAAATGTATATAAAATATAATTTGAATGCAAATATAGTATGCATATATCAAGTATACTATAAGATAAAAGTGCTTCTGGCTCCAAATATTTTTTGAGAATTATGTTTTTCAATATAGGTACTAATAAAATTATAAAACATATTTTTCTTCATGTTTGTGCGAAGGGTGGTCCCTGTTAATTTTATTCTAAAAGGCCATATTTTTTCTACAATAAATGATATTTTTTAAGATTATTCTACCCTCCTCATATATAGTTTATAAACAATGCTTTTCAGGTGATACTTATCACAAAATCATGTAAAATTTCTGGAATATGGAAAAGAAAATGCTGAACTGTATGTGCAGCATTGTACCAACTCAATGGGAATTAACTTTTTTTTTAATTCCACAGTGAACCTGTGATAAAAGATGAAGATGGAGTAGATAGAATTGACTAGTTAAATCAGTATGGATTCGTGTCTACAGATGCGCATTTTATAGTTAAGCAAATTAACTGAAAAGTACTGGCAGAAACAAAGGAATCTGCAAACTATTATTGATATAAAAAGGGAGTATGGCAGGGTTTCATGAAAGTTAACCAAGGTGAAGACAATTTGAAACATGAATGAATTTGAATTTACTGTTTTTCTTATTCAAAATTACAACCCTCACCAAATACGAACGACATAATTTATCATCAGTGGAAAGGTAGTATTCTCCATGATTGGTAAAACAATCCTCATATCTATTATATGATTTTCCATAACGTTGTGAATAGTATCTGATGTAAAGCAATGTTAATGTTTTCAAAAGTCATCCTTAATGTTTTTGGTTAATATTTTTAATACGTCACAAACTATCGTACTGTATCTACAACTACTTTTTTAATATTGCTTATTCGAGAATTTTTTATTTTCCATAACATAATGAGTGTCACCCAATTAAAAGAATAAATATTTAACAAACAAAAAACATAATCCTCAGTTTAATTTTAATTCCTCCAGAGGTAACTTAGCCAGAGCACACGCTGTATTATAATAAATATATATTACATACAATCACACATATACAAGAATACTTACAAATAAAAGTAAAAATGGACATGAAATGTATATACATATAAATATAGGGTGGGTAATCGCTATTTCACTACTTTTCAAGTGTTTAAGAGTGTTTACCAATTTTTTTTTGTCTCGTAAATCTTTTTACCAATATTTGTACATGTATTCAGCACACTTTTGATATATTTTATTAATTTAGGGCACACATTTTATTGACACCCAGTAAATATGGACAAAAAATTTTGAAAAATATGAAAAGCCCAGAAGCGATATTTTATTACATTTTTTATCAATATTTAAAAAACGTCGCCTCTATTGCATAAAAAGCTTTAAATAACAAACTTCTATGACTTATTGAATTTTTCACAGCTAATACTTTGCGTTACCAGTCATTGTTTAATGTACCAAATTAAATTTATAATCTGAAAAATCTTTAACGAAATACTGACATATTCAGTGGATTAAAGTTTTATGAAATATAAAAAAAGATAAATCTTATAATCGGATCAACTGGTACATTTCTAAAATACAATACTAAAATGTAAGCTGCCTTCTACATGCAATACTTTTCAAGCCAAAATTAACTATTTTAGATAATCATTTATTCTTGATAGTCATAGACGACTTAAAAACATAAAATCCAAATTAAATACTGTAAAAAATAGTATTTTACTCAAAATTACAGGTTGATTTCAGTACAAAGTGTTTATTAAAGTATATTTAATAATGTTAAGTACTAAAGTTAAATCTTATAGCATATGATAACTATGCCCTTTAAATAATAAGTATAAAATAGGAAATATAAAAAATAACTTTGTTGAGCTACGCTCAATAACTACGCTATGTTTGGGATAATTTAAAAGCGGTTTTACTTAAAACTCGCTTCCCAAAAATGTGATCATCTCAATATAGAAACTTTAGACAACGAGTTTATACTAGATCGGCCATCTTTTAATCTATTATTAATCTATATTAAATTAAAAACATAAGAGTATCCAAAATAAATTATATCACTGTCCCGTTTGCTTCATTACTGAATCTTCAATTATTCATACCACCAACCAATTCACATTTCTCAAGGTTCAAGAGTAATTTTGTGTAGACTGTGAATATTTAATGAACTTTAGGCATTTATAATCCTGCCATTCCATATTTGCATTTAAGCAGTACCAACTATGGTTCTACGCTATAAGATGAGTAACCGCAAAATGGTTGTCTTCAAAAAGCGACTGCGGACTTTTTTAACACGTAAAATGTTGGCTTCAGTTTACCAAATTGAAAAAAAAATCCATTTTTCTATTTCTAGGTTGAATTTTATATAATTTGATGATGAAAAATGTATCTGGGTTAACAAGCACCGATATTCTGGATACTCGTTAAGTTGTATTCACTGTAATAAATTAAGCCTATGCTTGAATAGATAGCAAAATGACCGATCTGTATAAAGAAAAAAGGTTAGCTATTAAATAGAGATGGTTTACATAGCATGACTAGAAAAAAAATGCTTTGAGCTAAACAAACATAAATACTTAAATGAAATAAAACGTTGAAAAGTTTCTTAAATAAGTTCTAATATTACATTAAAGGGTATAATTTGTTCTGGTAAGGTACTAGTTTCACAAATACAAGATTATATGGATATTTCAATATTTGCTAGAAAAATGTATGCAGTAATTCTAACAGTAAGTAACATTTTTTCATAATCTTAAGTGCAAATTAGATATTCAAATCTAATAAATAATAATAGTAATAGTTACAGCAGAGCTTTATCAGTTTTATGATGATATATTCATTTGCAATTGGTTAATTATCTCTTCCACATCATCGGACTGTCGATTCTGCAGCGTGGAGGAAAAGTCTGCAGAGCACATTTTATGTACCTGCTCCGCTCTGGAAAGAACCAGGTTCCAGATCTTCGGATTTACCCGATTGGGGCCTACCGACTTTAAAGAAGTCTCACCCAATTCAACCATGACCTTTATCAAAAGGTATGTCTTGTACGGTGAACTATAAGTTAGTCATGAGCCACAATAGACCCATCTAGAGGTTGCAGTGGAAGGCGATGAGATCGTCCCAGTCATTTTCAACCTAACCTAACCTCTTCCACATTAATTTTAATATAACTGCTTAAGTGGTTAGGTCATTTTACTACGATAATAGTCAATAAGTCAACAAAAACAATATGACATTAATGCGTGAGTATTGACAGTAGCAGCAAAATAACATTTGTTATAATTGTCATAAACGTTAAAAAAGTAAGATATCCACTCCGGCATTATTCTTGGCTGAATTCGGAACTTAGACGTGTTTTGTCTATAACGTCAAAGTCGAAACGATTTTTTTTTTTTCATTGGTGTCTTTGGCTTCAACAACTAGGTAATGGATTGAACTAGTAGTTTAATACTCCATAGTGCAGGAGTATTAGTACTCTAATACTCCTACACCCCTACAGACAGGCCTTGTTACTGTTTCCTTGCGCCACTTTAGGAACATCACTGTTAATTAGAACCCAATAGTGAATGGTCGAGTGGGGAATCTTACCAAGGCATCAGAATTAATTTTAAATAATTATATTAAATAAAAAATTCCCGGCCAACGGTGGGATTCGAACCTGGGACCCTTGGATCCGCAGGCAGAGACTCTACCACTGAGACACCCACCCCCTCTCAATACAAATTTAACAAATGTTAAATTTTGAATTTGGAAAATAAAATAATTATAAAACTCGTTAAAAGATTTACATTTTGATTATTCGATTGGTTAGTACAATAAACTTTATTTATTTAATTTTTTACTATATTTAAGTCAGAATAATAGTTCTTTTCACTTTCTTCAGTCATTACTCATTATTAATAAATCAACAGATACACGTATAAAATAAATAACTATAAATAATGATAATAAATGGAAACGAAATTTCCAGAGTTGGTCACTAACGAGCTCATTTTCGTTTTGCGTATACCTTGACAATTCGTTCATATTCAGTACAGAAACTGGTTTGTAATTAAGTTTGGGTGTGTTGGAACACTAGGTTTTTGTACAGTATTGAGTCCGAAGTTTGTTGGAACACCAAATCTAGACTGCGCAGAATCCCGACAGTACGTAAACCGATTTGCTATTGTGTTGGAACAAACCTCTTATCACCTAATCCAAATTTATCAAAGCCTCCATCATACCCAGTTTTAGCCTCCCAATATATTTTCTAGTTATATTCCATCATATACCTCTCCAGAAGTCTCTGAAGTGCCCTTTATCATACCTGGAAACCAGGATTAGATAGACTAATAATACATTCTACGTACCTCGTGAGAGGCACAATAACAAGCTAGTAATTTAGATATAGAAATATATTGAGCCTTATATCCGATACGCATATATTGTCATAGAATTATGTCTAAGATTTATGTATACAGGTACGCAAATCCAAACTATTTTACAATAAATTAGATAAGGTATAATAAAATCACGCCTGAAACAAACAGAGATGATTGAGCAGCACTTACGCTCGTCTCTAACAGATTTGGCTTACATGATCCGCGTTTAAATTTCTGAACCTGTATAGCATAAACCAAAAGATATAAAAATCAAAGTGTAAATGCAATTGCAAAAAAAAAGAATTGTATTTATTATGCAATAGTAAATATGAGGTTTGTTCAAACAAATAACTTTTGTACCATACTTTAAATGATCACAAAACTATTTGGACCAATTCAATGGGCAGGTGCTGATTTCATACGGTTTCTTGGTGGTACAAACATATTATTATACACGAGTTGAAACTTTTATTAAACTGTTACGTGTACCTATGGTTTTAAATAATTTCTCACTTTACTTTGACACCCAACGCAATAAAAAAACAAATTCTCACTGTTAGAATTAGGCACAATGTTTATATTTGACATGTGTGTTAAAAAATCATGTGTATTTAAATATTATTTCCAATCCTCAAGAACACAAATTTTTGTCATCATAATTAACTGCTTATTTATTAAAGAAAACAATTATGTAGAAATTAAGAAAACTATGAACTCAAAAATAAATATGTAATCGTGATGTCCCATTGAAAAATATAAATTAATCATGTTTCTCTAGATATAATTTAAAAATTGTCCTATTTTGACTCATGCGAAAAAATGTGTACTATGTTGGAATAAAACTTTTTACCAATTAAAATTGATTGTTGATATCTGTTTTACTTTGGAGTAGGAACATTTTCTCAAAAGGGAGACACTGTAATAGATATGAGTCAAATTAGTAACAAAGTAAATGTTTTTGAGCATTTTTGCCTTCAAATATTTTTTGTAGCGTTTTGGTTAGCTTTTCTATAATGAATAAAATACTTTCAAAAGTATTGAAAATAAAAATATTCCAATGGAATATATACGGTTGCAAGAACGATTGCTAAATCTCTCAACAGCTAATGATCCAAGCAATTTGAAGTTCATGTCATTCAGATAGATCACATTCTCAAGCTCTGTTGAAGTTTATTATGCCCATAAATTATAACGAACGTTGTTGCAACCGGTCGGTGTAGTCTTTTTTATTCAACAGAAAGTTTTATTTTAATCGTATTTGTATGTGTTTCAATTCTAAATCATTTTAACAGAATATTTATTATATTTAAAAACTAAAAATGTACTACCTACATAAAAATTAAAAATAAGACAATACTTCGTTGGTGATTGATCAGTCATAAAAACAGCTGTAGGCAGATTGATAAAAGTAAAGATTTTTATTGTAGGATGTAAATACAGGGTGTTACAAAAAAGGTAGATCATAAATTATATCAAATTTCTTTGAGCAAAATAGGCATAATTAACTAAACTTGCCTTATTACAAAGTTGTTTCATTTGGACGCTGTGCAAATCTAAAATTTTCATTTAAAAATCGTGATAAATTTTTTTAAAGACTTCACTTTGGTTAAATTTCGTGTCTAAAAATCTATACAAAAATTAATAAATTACATCCGTCCATAGGCGTACAACAAGAGATTATTAGTAAATGATCACTTCAAATTTCAATGCCAGTTAGTATGTTAGTCCAAGGAACATGAGGTATAACTTATGACCTACCTTTTTGTAACACCCTGTACAAACAATAGTACAATGGTTTGAAAGGCCTATGCAAAAAATAAATACGAAAAATCAATTCCCTTTAAATTAAATTTGGAATTAATTAATTTAAAATAAACACTTTGCACCTTATTAAACTAATAATATACCTATTTTATAAATTATCCGTCTTACCTTCACAAAAAAAAAATGAGTCACATCCTAACTTTGTTCTTTCATCATATTTTACAAATAAACTTAAAAACTAATAAGAATAATTACAGTCAAATTGTGTGTATACAATATATATACGAAATAAATTTGGTTTTATTACAAAAAAAACCAGTCCTCAGATTTCAATCTCATAACAGATTTTTTTTCAAGTTTATGAAGGGCATTAAGTAAAAGTAGTCAAAAAGGTAAATTTAAAACAATCTTGACCAACATTCAACTCAAAATACAGGCAATAAGATTTAAAAATGCAGAGCGATACTGTCACCATACCAAACAAACAAATTTTCCAGATTTGTCAAAAACTTATTTTTGCAACCCATTATGGGTACATACAGAATATTGTGTCTGTGAAACTTTAAGACGTTTAGCCTATGCCTGATTTGAAAAGCACGTCATTCAGCAAGTCACAATCTCAAGCCCGAGGGGTAAACCACTAAGCTCAAAACGTACCTGTATTTCGGAAATCTCCCTAAGTTTTATAGGATTTCGGTGAAATTATTGTATAATATTTGCTATGATTTCCCTATAAATTGTCTTCGACTTGCTTGTTTTGTTTAATTTTAAAACCTCTTCACTTCTTGTTTGGTAGACCATTTTTTTGTCTCTTCCCTTGTGTTTTGAACAAAAAGATCCTGCATTTATAGTTCTGAGCAAAAAATTGATCTCGACGTGATTTCAGTGATGATTTCGACCATGATTTTCGTGATAATTTCGGAAATTTTGAGAGAATTTGTAGTGATTTCGAGTGAAAACGTATCGGTATTTCGGGAGTGGTTTACCCCTCGCTCAAGCCCCATTAAAATGTATTAGATGGTTAAAGAATTATTTTGTACAACCCACTGATAAGTGTCATGTTTTTTAACAAATTAAAACTTATTGGTTAAAACACATGGTTTTGTCAATAAAAACTTAAACTAGGTATTTCTTTTATAATAAGTGACTCTTGCCGTTAGTAATTCTTGATAATTCCAAGAAAACCACAGTCTATATTCTATTTTAGTGATGGTTATTTTCCGGGCTCCTCTTTATATTTTGTTGAAATCAGATAACAAAGATTATTTGTTTTGTTTTATTTAGTTTTATCTTTTAATTTTCCTATATTGTCGGCTAGTTTGTTTTAATGATTTTAAAATTGGTATATTACATATTTTTTAATAAAAAAGGTACCTTTGTATGTAGAGCTGAGTATGAAAATGTTATATGTGTGATAATTTTTAAAACTAACTAAATTGTAAATACATAAATAAAAAAGGGGTTTATGGGGCTTACATAACTTAAATAAGAATAAGAATGTTGCCATTAATGTTAGGATTTAATCAACCAAAATAGTTTTATGCTACACATTAAATTACTAATGAAATTAGCTTTCAAATGAAGTATCACACTTTACAATACGTAACAGTTTTTATCCCACTAAAGAGCGCTAAAAAAGTAGTATGAACTGTCATATTGTTGTATTCCCCATAAAATCACGTTTTCAATGATGTGCCATACTTTATACTTTTCTATTTAAATTGTATTGGTTAGGGTGATGGATAGGAGGGAAATGGCATATGACATTTGAGAAAATGATAGAAAGGTGCCCTCTTTGAATAAAAATCTCCTGTTTCAAACAATTTTTAATAGTTCTCTTCTGGTGAAAAAAAAATAGTCAAGACAAGTTTGGTTTAGGTTAATCCAATAACTTTTTAATGAACCAAAGTTGCATTTTCTGGACACATCGTGACGAAATTGGACAGTGCGATGTTTTAGTATACCTTGTTTTAAAGCTTTATCTAATTTTAAATATTTTTTTGAATCTTCATATCTATTTTTTGAATAGATATCCAAAAAAATATTAATTTTAACACAATTTGAATAAATTTTGAAAAATGACCTTCATTTTAGTTCTTCTGAAAGATGGTACATTTTTGACTAGTTAAAAATTAATAATTTCTAATTTAAAATCAAATTATGAGATTTCCTCTTAAGACCGGATCATACCTTCCCCTCATCGTAAGATCCTTTGGGAACTATTCAAGAGATCCTGGAGATAACAATACAGTATACCGGCTTGGGCCATTACGTCCACCGTACCGGTGGCAAGCGTATCTTTTTGCTTGGCGTTATCGGCCTTTACTCCCGGACGGAGCAGCGTTGGACCAAAAACTGTTGCTAAATTGTGTAGCGACATTTTGTTATCTACTTCGTGTCGATGAACCCTGAAAATTGACATTTAATAGTAATGAAAGTTGATAACCAGGTGGAATAGAACTTTGATAAATTATAACCCTACTTATTTTACAGAGTTAAATCATCCATGTTTTTTTTAAACACCTTCAATATCAATGTCCTATTCTACTACAACTACTAGTTTAATTCTTGTCGCCTAGGTTTATCAAGGATAAAATAATTTGTTGTTCCATTCCATTTTGTTATGGTTCTATTTTTATTATTTTAATTTGTATATCAAATACATGGTGTTTCATTAATACGTGTAAATATTCTAACTGGAAAATGTTGAGCTCATATGAAGATTTAACATAAATCAGTTGATTCTTACTTAAAAATGAATTTTCATCATTATTTTAATACTTTGACAATTCCGCCAGTGGTGTAGAATGTAGGAAAAGACAACTCTTCCCGTGCCCCTGTCGTACGCCTCTGATGATAGCGAGAAATTCTTATTTAATATAATTTCATGTATCTCTAACTACTTGAACTTACTCCCAAGTATCATAAAGAAATGTCAGGCAGAATTAAAACAAAATTCATTTTTAAATATTTAAATAAAACACTCTGTAACTTAATAAGGAACAAAATCTTATCCCAAGTGATTTGATAGAAATCTTCATATATTGAACTCAATTTTTTTCAGTTAGAATATTATAATTGACAATCAGTTCTTAATAATGTGTTTTCGACTTACCTTATTAAATGGTCCAAAATGCATTTGATCGTTTCACAATTTATCGTTGGCAGTTTTAGGAAGCATTCCTTAAGCAATTCCGTCCTACGTTTCAAGTTTCCATTGCTCTGGTTGAAAGCTTCAAACAGTTCCGGATAAAGCTCATTGGTAAAAAGAGCTTCAGGTAATTCCCTTAAATATAACTTTAGAATACCAGTCACAGAATGGATATCGACTTCTTTTAGAAGTTGTTCAGCCTCATAAGAATCTATGAAAAAAAAAAAAATGTGTTACTTTTAGAATGCTGTATTTATTTATTAAATTTGTAGACATTAGTTTCGCAAACTTACTTGTTTCAAAGGATTTTTTCAGTTTGGAAATGTCAAGGGATGATCCGGATACCCTGTATATTCCAACTTCAGCCATTCCTCTCCTTTCTACCTCTCGTATACATGCAGTTACAATAAAAGGAATGTTACGTTTTTGCCTCCTATAAAGAAAATGGAAACTAAATAATATGCAATTTTTGGAAATGTGAAAATATGAACCCAATTCCCCTAATGAAATTAAGGAATTTCTCCCTACATCACCTAAACGAAAACAAATCGAAGAAAAATGAAAAATTGAAAAAATATGAGAAATAATGAAAACAGTCTACATTTGAAGTCATCAGATTCCGACTCTAAACGATACAAAACCTCTCCAGCTTTCTCAATTTTTCATAACATAAAAAGTAGTGGAGAGGTGCGATATCACTTGTCATTTCGTTTTGTCACTTATTTGATAGAAGTTTCTGAAATTGTTTATTATTTAAAATACCACAAAGTTTCTTGTAAAGCATGTGACAAAAAGAAAAGATCGACAAATTTCAATAACCAAAAAGTAAAATTATTATTATTCAAGTTGTTTAAAAAACAGCAGTTCTTTGATATTAATTCAAGTTACACTTTTTGAGCGTGGTGACCGATAAGAAAATAATTTTTTTTCTTTTATTGAATAAATGAGAAGTTAATATTGTTTAAAATATTTTTATTATCTTACAATACATGTAAGTTATTCAGGAATTTTTATCATTGAAACTATAGGTTTATGGTAAATGAAATAAGAAACATAAGTTTGAGGCTTGATATCCTCTAAATATCTGGAAAATATCGCGTCAATGGCGGTCCCATATTTTGTTGTGGATTCTTGTGGATCATTATTCATTTTCAAATTCAATTTTTCCGAAATTGTGTCTAAAAGAGATAGAATTAGTTATGAGCAGTTAGCAGCTAGTCCACACGCATACGTCTAGTCGCACGCACACAAACACCGTGCCGAAGTCTGCCGAACTGAAACGACGTTAGACGATGCACGGCTTTCAACGCCGCACCGCTGTGGCGGTCGGAGAGATGGTTGTCAGGTTTTTTTTTATTACGCGTTACGGAATTTCTTGATTCGGTCGCCGCGCTCAAAGCCCGCGATAAAAGCTATGCAATAGCTTAAAACTGATTCAGAGTCTGTTTGTATTGTATTAATTATTTGATTAAATGTATTTTTCAAAGATGTAGTTTTTTATTGCATTACTTATTTCTCCAAAGGTATTTTTTGAGAATAAATAATATACAATTATATGAAAAAAACAAGTAAACCACTATTACAAAAATACAATAAGAAATAATATGTTGACATCAATGTCATATACCTATTTATCCATCAGTTAAATACTTTATCAGGAAGTTTACAGGTAAGATAAGTTATATTTAAGACCAATTAATCTATCGGTTGTGTAATAATTGGCAATATTATTAGTAAAATCTAAAGAATCCACTAAAATTCCAAATGTAAGAAATACATGTTAATATTCTTCAAAATAATAAGGAACTGTGACGTAAATTTTGATTTAAATGGTCGTTATTCGACAGAAGGTCTGCTGCCCGAGACTCTGGCCGAAAAGCCGCTCTAGTATTGACCGTGCCATCGGCACCCTATGTCCCGAAGCCACTTAATATTGTTTCAAAGTAAAAGTTTTGTGCAGTGAATTTGTGTCAGAGGTAAGCGGCCATATCTTTAATTATTTTAACATGTTGTTTGGTTTTGTTTTGAGACAAATAATAATTTTCCTTTGAATGCTGCTAGCAGAAGGTACATGTGCAGCACTTAGAATGATTATAATTAACTAATTCGTTAAGGGAGTTTTCCCCAAAATGTGAAAAACATCAAAGGTTTCTCCAATTTATAAAAATAAGGATGGAACTATTGCCCATTTCAATTATGCAAACACTATCAAAACAAATTGAAAAGCTTTTAAGATACTTTTTAAATGCACAAAATAAAATATAATCTACTGAACAGAAAATAATTTGGATTCAGAAAGAATCTTCCTACAATATGCGATCACAAAGCTGGTGACTGATATAGCCAATGCCTTCTAAAGTTGAGACATGCTATTTGCCATCTGCTGTGCCTCTCGAAGGCATTTGACTGTATCAATCATAATTTCTTGTAATATAAACTTATGTACTATGGTACAAGGGACTAGAGACTAGACTGACTATCAAACTATTTAACGAATCGATATCAATCGGCCATAAAAGATAGGAAACAAAATTAGTCCAAGCGGTCGAACAACAATGGTCAATTCTTGGACCATTGTTATTTATAGTTCATATAGAAATTTAAATGAAAATTTAATTATAAAAGACATAATTGAAATGCCAGATGCACTTAACACATATTATATTGATAGTATTGACTTAGTATCTAATATAAATCAAAACGTTAGTGATTTTCCCATTATTGTTGAAAATAATAATGTAAGTCTTAAAAAGTTTATTCTTATTAGTTTTGATAGTTTAAAAAAAATTGTATTTGATATGTCGAATAAAGGAAGTCCAGATAAAATTAAGGTACTATTTCGAAAATATAGCTAATCAATTGATAAATGAAATAAATTCCTTGTTAGAAACTAATAGAGTTCCAGACGACCTAAAATTTTTAATTATAACACTAATAGCTAAGGTTGAGAATTCAAATAGAGCAGTGGATATGTTATGTACAGTAGAATTTTTTTGCTGCGAAGATAATACATCAAGAACTAGCAGAGAAACTTGAGCTACTGCAATATCTACTGGGACTGCACTGTTCTCACAGTATAGACGGCGACTCACAACAGACCAGAGAATTCTTGGAGATAAGTAATCCAAAGAAGCAACGCTTATCGACATCGCCATACCCAACAACAACAATTTGCAGGTCAAGCACATGGAAAAGATCATCAAATACCAAGATCTACAAGAGAGAAGCCGACAACAGTGGAGAATGGAGAGGGTTAGAACGTTGCCCATCATTGCATCATCAACAGGAGTCATCCCAAAGAATCTGTCCATGATCATCAAGAAACTCGGATTAAGTGAACACCTCTTCAAACCGAATCAGCACTTCTTGCAACAGTCCGTACCATCCGAAAATTTCTAGGAGGTCCGGATATACCATCAAGGACCCAATAACTTGGAAAGAGCTCAATCCCTCTGATGTTCGAAATATCTGGGATAAGTGAATGTTCCCCTAAGCGTGAGAGCAAATGCTGTAAGGCTAACTAGATGATAATAATGCGCTAGTTCAGTGATGATGTAATTATGGTTCCACTGACAATTAAAGTGACAGTAGATTTTTTGAGTGCGTTCTGTTCGTTTTGTTTACCTAAATTATATCGTTTTTTTCACTTTTATAAATATATTCCTAAAGTAAGTAGATAGCATGTATCAAATATACAATCGTTTAGTTACCAATTACATACCTTTAAACTATTTTTTATGACCTGTAAAGAATATTTTGAAATAAAATAAAAACAGTAAAAACGTATATGTCAAATTTATTGATGTTTTTGTTAAAAGTTTGGTTAGAATTAAATGTCAGTGGAACCAAAATGACATCACACTGAACTAGCGCATAATAATATAAATGCCCTTTCATTCTACATGAAATCAACATCTTCCATCATACATTCTGATGCTGATTACATTTTACCATTCAAATCAAAAATATTCTCAAAAGTGTTGAAGAAATTGTAGATTTATTTCGAGCTTGGTTTTCAATGAACAACCTTAAACTCAATGCAGAAAGCCGCTAAAATATTCACTCTCAAAAATCTTCCTGTCATGATGGACCATACGATTTTTTAGGTATCACGATAGACAGTAAGTTAGACAGGAAGCAACAAATGTATAACGCTTTTATCAAAGAAATTGGCACTCACTCTATATCTGCTTAGGAAGCTACAAACTAAGACATCTACAGAAATATGCAGAACAGCCTACATTGGTTTATTCCATAAATATCTTATGGAATATTACTCTGGGGCAACTCAGTAGACCGGCACAAAATATTTATCATACAAAAATCCGCCTCTTCGGCGATTATTAAAATACTACCTTTAGAAACATGATGTAGACCTTTATTTAAACAACTTCCATCACTAGATCAAGAAATTTACTGATAATCCCACAGCACCGATTAACAATGATAAATAAAAGTTTCATATTTAATGCTTTAAAATTATTAAATAAACTTTCCGCTGAACTACGCGAATTTAATTTTAAAACATTAAAACACAAAAAAAAACCTACTACTCAATTAACCCATATATTCTTTACATGAATTCTACGATGCTGATTTATACATCAATAATTAATTATTGTATTATAACTACTACTTGTATTAAATTTGTGTATATATCTTGTAATTGTCTGTATTCTAATTTAAATTATATTTCTTTTGTGATTATACTAAAAAAACTGGCACATTAACCATATTTGTACTATTCTTATCTAAAAGGAACCAAGAGACAAATTGGTAAAAATGAGTTAAAGGTATCAAGCGACAGAGGAAAGTTTAATTTATCTTGTATAAAAAGATCCAATTACTAACTCTACTATAGTGTCATCCTTTGGCCAATGAACCAATTAGGAAACAAATTCCTAATTTCAATAAAGGGAACCATCTGCCAAAAATAGCTTCAAACTCGTGTTTCTAGGTAGCTTAATAAATTTATAAAATTGTGCCCATGACAAAGCTATGACAACATATTAACTATCTGACACTAGTTCACAAAGCTAGAGTTTTCTACACTCATTATTTTAATACACCATTATCATCTTTAACCTCTAATATCTCAAAGCTTCAATTTGGCGCTTGGTTCTTTTTAAATAAGTATAGTCCATTTATGTATTATGTTTGTTTAATTTTATAAAAAATAACTACTTTTAGGTAGGAGTAGATTAACTACACGCTAATGAAACTACCCTTTTTCTAAAATAGTTAGTAGTTTTACTAAACTACTTTTTGCAAGTAGTTTTCCCAGCTCTGTGGAGGGTTTAGTAAAAAAATTATTAATCCAAAAAAAATTATGTATATGATATGGTTCAAAATATAATTTTAAAAGCACTTACTTGCATACAGCTTGTATTTTCTCGCCAAATAAGGCACCCGTTTTTCCAGTCGGAACTCTCCGCAAGCTAATCTCGCAAGGAATGTATTTCAGTCCCATTCTTAAAGTACAGCCATTTATTGAAAGACTCTTCTCTGTGATGTGCTGGTTCAACCATTTTCGACTCAGCTTTTGGGTGTGCTTCCCAAATAAAGTGGGATTCGTTGTACCATCACGATAAACCAACACCCTAAGGTTTTCGCAACCTTCCAAATCGATCATAAAGGTTTCATTCCACTGTGGATTGTTCGTGTTACAGATTATTTTCGTTTTGGCTTTTTGGAAAAAGTGACCGTAAAAGTCTACTTCGATGACTATATATAAATCTAGAAATATTTAAACGGTAGTATCGAACTTTACAAAGATTGTCAGACATTCGACTTACCACAGGAATATTCCAATCCGTTTAAATCATAAATATAAACATGCAGATCACCCACCAATAAGCTTTCATCATTACCACTTCTCAACAAATATGATCCCATATTGGTCTTCAAAAACTGTCTACACGCTGTAATCCAAGTCTGTAACTCGAGCATATTAAAATGTTGGGACGTGACCTTGCCCGTCCGTTCAGTCTTCTGCAGAGTCAAGATGGCTTCGATCCATTGCGTTCGTTCGAAATCCGACGACAGAAAGAACATGTAAGTACGTCCAGTAATCTTGTTTTTTATCCTATATACAAGATTGGGCGAAACAAGTACCAGTTGGCTTTCTAATTCAATCAGTCTTTTTCGGTATTTGTCCGAGCCTCGTAGTAGTTTCGAACGGTACTAAAACAAAATATAAGTTTAGGGGTTTTGCAATTTATGAATTCAATAAACATGGTCCAGGAATCTGGAGATAACACACTATTTGAAAAAAATATGTTACAAGTTTATCAGGCTTATATATTTTAGTCAATGTTCTTGCAACCGAGTGATTGTTCTAAAATCGTTAAGAAAGTATCATATTATTTATTAGAAGAAAAAAAAAGTAATATTTGTTAACAACTTTTTAAGTAAAAATAAATGTTTTTTATTCACGCTACCCATTGTTTGGACTAAAATTTCTTAGCACAAACAGATACAAATATTATTAGGTATGGCGAAAGTGTAAAGAACTGAAAAACTAACTATAACTGTTCATAAAATTACGGGCACATCAACATTATTATTTCTATGTAGATGATTTTGTTGCAAACTATAAAATGATTAATTTTAAATTTTATAAAATTTCATGAAATCCATCCAAATAGAAAAACAAATCACAAATTTTACCAGAGACAGTTTAAATTATGATTTTTAGGTATCTCAAGTGTAACCACACAATCTAAATGCAGATAATTTGCTTTTCTTAAAATAAAATAAGGCATTAAACTTCCTATAAAATGAATATAAATTAATGTTGATGTTTACCCTGTCTTCATTTGCTTTCTCGTCTTGCCTTAACTGATCTCGAACATTTGATGCTTGGGATTTCAGTGCTACGATATTTGATTGTGAAACTTCATGTAAATTAGCAGTCGTTTCTTCTAAAGTTAAAATATCTTCTACTGGAATAAACCATTTTAATTCAAAGGTGTATTTCTCATTACGGCCAGCGGTCTAAAAATTGAAATTAAAAAATGGTAGTTTATATCATATTATAACATTTTAAACCATTAGGTTTTATTAAGGTAAAAGGTGTTCATAAAATGTATTGGAATATATTGGATAGTTAAAATAAATAAGTAAAAAAAAAAGACTGTAGCAAACTAAGTAAACAGTAATGGTTGATGATTTTTTATAATGTACAAAATTCATTGATTCGATAGTAGTTTTAAGAATATAAAACGTTTAACAACTAATTAAAGATGGCTTTACCTTGTATTTTGCACAAGCTATAACATCATTGAACAAAAATAGATGCCTTAATTTTCTGTGACCATCAACAAATTCTACTATAAACGAATTTTTCACTAATCTTCTTTGCGCCCTATCCGATGCCTAAAAAATATTAATTGTTATAGAATATTTACCCAGTCTTAAAGATCCATTCATTTGCCAAACAAATATTTTAAATATAAGTACTTACAGGAAACATGGATTTCGTCTGAATCATGTTAAACTGATCCAAAAAATTTTGTGTAAGATTTAAGGCTTCGGCTAAACTATGGTGATCTAGATGTGTGGTTGGAACGAATTTTAAAAGATCGTGTAATACTAAAGCGTTTTTTTGTACTCTCTGCACTGGTTTGTGCAGAAGGTCTTCCAAGCTGATGGGTTGTCCAGAAAGTTGTTTACACGTAATATTTTTGGAAATGTCTCCGAACTGGGTGTTTGCCGCGCTACATTTTCTTACCGTATCCAAAGCTAGCCCATAGTTGCTTAGAAATGCGCCATACAATGATAAATTTGAAGCCTAAAAATGAATAAATTCATAAGTTGTAAATAGAAATGCAAAATTTCATTCAATAAATAAATAATATCAAGGAAGTACCAAATGAAGAGACAATTTAAGTTTATTTCTCTTTTATAACAATAATAATATTACAAAATGCGATAATAATATAGATCCTACATATCGAAAAATTTGTAATGTGTTAAATAACACAATGAGAAATAAATAAATGAGGGAAATCAAACTAATATTTTATAACGCAGTGGTATTACCTACATGAATCAATTTTAAAGGACATAGTAATTAAATGATTGAGGAAAATGATCAAAATGAGAAACGAAATTAAGTCAAGCATATCATAGAATCAAGAGTCATAGGAAAAATAAGAAATATTAGAACGAGAAAAAATATGGGTATATGAAATCACAAAAAGAAGAATAAAAATCTAACTGAAATGAAAAGGCTAGCAGAGAAACAGAAAGAATGCGTTGAAATATCAAGAGAATAAAAGAAATGTGACACCCTAACATGGTAATAAGGACAGGTCCGTGATTTCATACTGTGTTATAAAATTTCATTTATTATTGCACCATGTTTTTTTTTTGATAAATCTCTCGATATTATTTATATATGATATTCAAAATAATGCTGATACTGAATTAAATTAATTGAACTTTAAGCTTAATTTATAACCGCCGTAACGTAACTTAAGAACTTAACGTAAGAAGTTGAAATATTGAATTTACGTATACTTATTTATACTGTTCGTAACGTAACTTAAGAACTTAACGTACCGTAGAAAGTTCGCCAACTTTTAACTTAACAACTTAACTTAACTTAAGACCTTACGGTTAGCCAATGAGATAATTCTGAGTTCAGCATGTGATAACTGTCAATTATTCTTTTTATTTTTTTTTATAAATGATTAGACAAATACCATTTGTAAACTATCATTCTCCTTTTTGATGGACATACATTATCATGAATGATTTGTGTTTATGTTATTGGGAATAAACTATTTATGAGATATGAGTGTTGATGCATATACCTATAAATATCAAGTCTAGAACTGAAATAAGACACAAAACTAGTTTGCTAGGAAAGATTAAATTCTCATTATTGCTCAAAAACAATCAACATCTTCGGTAAACTATTGTTTTATTATATTTTTATATTATTGCTTTTAAAGTAGTTAAAATATTCTTTCTATAATTTATAAGTTTTATTTAGAGGTTAGGTACATAGTTTACACTTGTTTATTTCATAAGGTTGTCACGTTGTCAGTAATTTAATAATCTCTGAAATCAACACGCATGCTCAACTCTTACGTTACGGACGTTTATAAATATACTTTATTTTTATATGTTAGGTTAAGTTTCTACAGCGTTAAGTTAAGTTACGTTACGGTGGTTATAAATTATACTTTAATCATATACAAGATGAGTCATAACTATTGGGACATAGAATGAGTACAAGTTATTTGGACCAAAATATGAAGGGCGATCATACCTTAATAATAAAATGTTGCTATGGAAAAATATACAGGTCTTAAAGTTAAAATATTTTTTGTTATCAAATTTAACAACAGGCATAACTTTAGTAAAGGATAATTTTATATTTTGTCACATGAGCGAGTTTTGATGTTGAAATTGGGCCATATTGACGAATTTTTTAATAATTTTGATTAGAGAACAGGATATAAATACCATTTTTATGTAAAATTGTTATACCTGTTTAAACTTGATACTTTCAACCGTTTTCGAGGAAAACTCAATTGAACATTTCACAATCTCTGAAAGGCATTGCAATTAATGTGCTTTGGGCTGCCAAATAATTGATGTCAGTTAATGTCATTAATTGTTAGATTACTATTTTTGGCCTGACAGTTTATTGAATGAGTAAATTTTTATGGGGATAGATCGTCGTCAATCTCACAAACTGACGTATCTCAAAAAATGCAGTTTTTAAGATATGACTGTAGAAACGCTTTATTTTTATAGATATTCCTTCTCAGAAAGTGGCGTAACTAAGCTGTAACAGTTACGTAGTAATAGAAGCTTCCGTGAGAGAAGTATCTCCTTACTCAAACGCTGCACAAAACTTAATTGTTCTCCTGTAAAATTGGGAAAAATAAGATAGGTCACTTTGTGAGATTGACATCGATATAAAGTTTTTAGTTTATGCTAATGAAACTCTTTCACGAAGTGAACTCTAAATAAAAAAAAAACAAGATGCGGCAACTCTTTCACAAAGTGAACTCTAAAAAAAAAGATGTGGCTAATTTTATTAGGGAATAGTATCATAGTCAGAAAATCATTCATCAATAGCATTAGAAATAAAGTAGAAGTAGGAGGAGCCCACGTAGAACATTTAATTTGATTTTTGTTATCCATTTTGTTATTTCTCCAAAACTGTTGAAATTTTCAAGTTTAAGTGGTGCCTCCTGTAACAAAATCTAAAATAGTATATGTTGCCTAAAGTTATGTATGTGTTTATTTTGATAACTATTTATTAATATGTTAAATAATTAGTAAAAAACGAAAAAAAAAATATTACTTTATATATCTTTTTCCACAGCAACATTTTATGAATGCATGTTTGATTTAATCCTCATATTTTGAGCGTTTACACTATGTCCCACTAGTTACGAATCACCCTGTATATATAAAAATGTCAACACTGCAATTTAATAGATATTATTATGTTGGGATATTAAACTCGTATTTATATGATAAAATACTATTCTTACCATCATTTTAAAATGCTCTCCAATTCGTGTATCCCATGTTTGTATATGCCTTTTAAGAGCATCCAAAAAGTTAGCGTGCAAATTATATAATTCTGGTATTTTATAAAAAATAATATTCAATTCACTTTCGCTAACGATTGGTTGAGACGTTCCTATTGTAGCTTGTATTGCCTTCATGTACTAAAAATAAAACATTGTAAATAAATCGTAATAACATTCATAATACATTTATAAGTGTAAGAGTGATCTAAAAAAAATATTTCTGCGAGTATTAAGGTGAGGGCATCAAACAAACATAATCAGGTGGGAATATAAAGAAGTGCTAGTACAGACGGAATTTTCCCCTCTTCAGGAAGGGGTATCATATATTCTACAGGAAGACAGCTAGAGTAGATATGACAAGCCTCTTACACTAAAGCAATGGTATTCAAATAAAAAGTTTTAAAATAAACAACATTTTAACAAATGAATTGCAACATCATGGCTACAATAACGATGATACGAGTAAAATGTGGTAAATAATATTTTTTTATGTTATCTGTTAATCATATGTATGCTTATCTGGATTGAGCCCCGAAGGCGTATCATACAACAAATGAGAAAACATTTGATTTTGAACGAAAAACATGAAAGTATTAAAACGTTGAATTTTTAGGATTGTGCAGTCACAGAGGTGGCCAAACTTAAGGACGACCGAAGGCCGTCGTCAGAAACAGTTAAATACATTTTTTTACTTTTTGAATATATAAGAGCCCGTTTTACCTCAAGTTCATACCTGGCGGAAAATACTAATGAAAACTAACATTTTAAATGTATGTTTATTACACTGTAATAATTGTCCTGTGGAGCAGGCGGATAGAATGACTTCACCTGGGCATTTACCATCGAGATGGTAGAAGCCCACCAAATGGCCACTTCCCAAAAATAAGGTATCTAGAGACACCTCTCGGCGACGTTATTAACCTGCAGGACTTTGACCTGAGAGGCTGGCTATCCCTTAGACCCCCCAGTGAGAGCCAGGGGTTTTGATGAGTTAATAATCTGCAGGACTTTGATGAGCTAGGAAGATGGCTGTCATCAGCGACAACCAGCAGGTTTTTGACAAGTTGATAAACAGGTTCTATATGCCTTGGAGGATGTACAATAGGCCTTATAATGCCTAAGTTGTGTGAAGCAACCCACCCTTCCAGATACAGATACACTGTAATAGATAAAGCTCGTATATCAGTAATGTTTATCACATTGTATAGCAGGGGTACAAGTTGGAAAGGCTTTTGGTAGGTGGAGAGAAGGTAAACGTCAAACCTCGTCGGACAACTTTTTGAAGCTTGAATTGGCATTCACACAAAGCAAATCAAAGGATATAGTTGGCGAGGAAATTTATTATGAAATAACATTTAAATCTTTTAATAGATATATCTAAAGGAACCGATAGATATTTTAAAATGTATTTCATGTAATAATTTATTATCGTCATTCCTCAATTTAGTTGTAAGTTTGCGAATATTTTTATTTTTACCAGTAGCAGTTAAATCTGGAGAGCGATCATTTTCCAAATAAAAAACAATAACAAATTATCTTAGATCTACCATGTCCCAGGATCGACTCACAAATTTGAGAATAGGTAATAAACAGTAATTAAAAAGAACATCTGTAAACATTTAGATCACTCACAACTTATTGACGAATACGCAACAATAAAAGATAGAATAGTAGTTTGTGCAACAAGTGTGGATATGATGGCCATATCGCACGAAGACGAAATTTGAGCACGACGCCGTAGGTGGAGTGCCCAATCGTCTGAGTGCGATGTGGGCAATCCACTCGAGTTGTACAATATATTTTTTCTAGGAGCCACTAACGAAAATTTACAAAAATAGATAATATTTTAGGTTATTAAGACAAAATAACTAATTTTAAAATAATTTATGATTTTTTTAATTTTTTAAAATAAAATAAACGAAAAAAAAAAAGAAAAAAGTTAATTTCATTTTTCCCCATCCGAGAATCGAACTCTACTCTTCCGTGTGAAAGGCAAGAACGCTAACTACAGGACCACCTGTTCTTTTATTTTTGTTGCTTTATTACTTATTTAAATTAACAAATTATTTATAATTATAGACGAAATAAAAACAGAAATGCTATTATTTATCGATTCTACACAAGAATAACCCATTTTAATGTATGTTTAATCTCAATAACTAAAAAAGATACTGACAATTAGTTTGACAGAATTGTCACATATTTAAAATTTTAAAAATATTAGCAGTCGGTTGATCAAAATATGAACGGTGATTGGTGTATTTTATTTTTTTTTGCAGTGTTCTCACTACCTAGAATGGATATGACATATATTCGTTCAGTTGAAGGCAATAGCATACTTTTTCGTTTTGTAATTTGTGCGTAGATAAGCTAATATCCATGTGGATGAAGAATATTTATGTAGTAAACAAATTTAAGTTTTTTTTCGTATTGCTACCTGAAATTTAGTTCATACAAAGATAAAATGCACAGGTTTTGTTGTATACGTTTCATTTTAATATTTTTTATTATTATTAAGGTTTATATTTTACTTGTTAAATATTATATTAGTATTTCATGAAATACTTTTGTTTAAAAAATTTAGTTTTCACATTTCTAGCTGTTTTTAAGAACCATTCAATGTAGCCTTTTGATTAGGGTTTGATTGTACTTCAAATAAAATATTTGGGCCCTTTACCGCTTATGCATCTTAAACCTATCCATGTAAAACTATTTCGGCCCTTTACACCTTGTCTTTCTATGTAACAATATTTGTTCCCTTTAGACCTTAAGCCTGTCCATTTAAAAATATTTAGTCCCTTTACCAGTGTTCAAGTAAAAATAATTTGCCTCTTTGCCTCCTCAACCTGCACATGTAAAAATATTTGGCCCCTTGCCCATATGCCTGCCCATGCAAAAATATATGGACACTTTACCCCTTAAATCTATACATGTAAAAATATTTCGCCCCTTTGCCCCCGCTCAAGTAAATATATTTTACCCTTTTACCTCTTCAACCTACACAAGTAAAAATATTTGGTCCTTTGCCCCTTATGCCTGTGCATGCAAAAATATGTGGGTTCTTTACCCCTTATGCCTGCCCGTTAAATAATATTTGGTCCATTTATAATTTGTCTATCCATATAAAAATATTTGGTCCCTTTATCCCTTACACCTGCCCATATCAAAATATTGGGACCATTTACCACTTACGCATGTTAATGTAAAAATATTTGGGCTCAATTACACCTTCTTGATCCCAACATCAAATACGAGTTCTATTTTGAAGTTTGTTAAAACTCGTGCAAAAATAATTGTTATTTGCATTAAAACAATTATTCTCACTTATAATAAACAAACACTCCAACAAAGTCCTTTAAAAGAAGTTAAAAAAAAAACTTAATTTATTTTACGTTTAAGAATGACAGCAATAAAAAAATGTAGTTTCACATTTGACAAGCATGGCCCATAAAATAAGTTCAATAATAAATGCATTGCATTTTAAAAATACTGATATTTAAAGCACTTAAGTTAAACCAAACACAGTTATCGGTTGGAAGAAACTATCAAGTAAAATCAATGCCGCAAGTCGATTGGAGCTTTCGATCTAGAGTTATCGTGTCGGCATGCATACATACATACGCAAGCACAGACGACCAGACGAGATTTTTTTTTTGTGTTTTCGCATTTATAATGGTCAGAACGTGGAGAAAAATGTTAAAAAGTGGTGTAAGAAAAAATTCTGGTCGGCACAAATGTAATACTAAAACCCCTTAGATAGAGGGTTCAGTCATTTTGAAACATTTTATTTGTGCATACTGTCACTTCCTAGGATTATTACAAAGAAGCTATGGCTATCTTGGTCCAAAATTTTATAATATAATCCCACCTGATTTAAAAACAATAAACTCAAAATCACTATTTAAAAATAAAATTAAAAAATGGATGAAAACAATTCCTAGAAATCAAATACATGCTTACTTTGAAACACTATAAACTATAAAAAAGAGATATTTATTTAAATGTAATATATTATATATAAAATATGAATGATTATTAATGATTAAAAATTGAGTAAACAAATTATTTTATTAATGTTATTTTAATTGTTATTGATATTAGTATTAGTGTTGTTATTGGTGTTGGTAGTTATATAAGTATTGGTATTAGTAGAGGTATTGCATTGATATTGGTATTAATGTTAGTACTATTGTCAATATTATTTTTATTATTGTAGATTTTGTTATTCATGTTATCGTTAACTATTATTATTATTGTTATAATTATTATTATTATTGATATTATTAGTTTTATTAGTTTTATTACTACTTCGATTATTTTATTATTTATTTTTAATTTTATTATTATAACCCACGCACAGGCTAGACCTTCTGTGGGTTTTATTATTATATTTATTAACAAATTGTAATTTTCTTGTCGAATTTTGTTGTTGTTGATTAATAAATATTATTATTATTATTATTATTATTAAGATAAAATTTATTTCATTACAGGGCAGGATATTACTATACTATTAGTTTTACCCAATTAAAATAAAGGTACTTACTTTTAATAAAAAACTCAGCCAATCAACATAATTCGTTTCACTATCAGTTATATTATAAAAAATACTTTTATACATCCTATCCGTTTCATTCTTGATCTCGCCTTCCTGTAAAACATTTAAAAGTTAACAATGAAGTTTTAAGATAAATTGCCGTGTAAAACAGAATAACGGATATACAAAAATATATCGTTCTTAACGTACATGGCTAAATTTTCTCTTTGAAGCTGGGGTCATAGACTCTAAAGAACTGGAACTAGCATAGGAACTGTTGTCATTTTGCCTTCTCAATTCTTGTATTTCTTCTTGTTCATCTTCGCTGCTGCTGTGACCATTACCATTTTTTTTCGTAGCCCTATAAGAAATTGGAGATTATTCATATACTTCCTCCTATTTGAATAAATGATACTAGTATAAATTGGAAAAAGAAAACTATAACAATATCGATAAAATTGAAAATGATAATCAATTTATATGTTGCAATTAATTATTAAAAACTCTTAGTTGTTATATCATAAAATAATACAGCATTTATTAAATCAAAATTAATTTATTAGAATTATAATAATGTATAGATGTATATTTATTTCCTATTATAGAAAATATCTTACCAATTAAAGTCACTCTCAGTTTGGCACATAACTTAGTGTTAAATAAAATCAATAAATAGTTTTTACTATTAAATAATTAGATTTGACCTTGCTTTTACATACATTATGCGGAAAGAAAGTCTTCAAACATTCAATATATGACTTTTGTGTTTTTTTTAATAACATTGGTGCAGTTATTTAGAAGACAATTAAACAAGTACATAATTACTATGTAACAAGTACGATATAAAAGTTTAAAATTAATTGGTATTATAAATTCTGTTCTATTTACGTTTTATTTTGCTAGAAATAAAAATAAATGAATATTTTATAGAGAGTAAGAGAATGGAAAAGAAAGCATTAACAGTTAATAAAAAGAGAAGTAAATAATATCGTTTTCATGTTAAAAGTATTTAAATAAAAATATACAATGGTACTTATATTTTGAATAGTTATATTTAGATTAATGAAATTTTGAGAGTGAAAATAAAGGATTATAAACTTTTCTACTAGTGGTAACAAAATAGTTATAGATGACGTCAAAGGGCTACTGTTACCAATAACTTTAAATTGGAGCTTTTGGCAAGTGACAACTCGTTTGAAAGGTATGTAAAATACCTATTCAGCCATACTAATTTTTTTGGATTTATGGTAATTTTTAGGGAAAACTAAATAAACACTACTTATAATTTCGCATATCTGGTCCACCAGTGGCCATGTGACGTCACATGTTACTTCTAGTAGAGCGGGAGGAGAGGGGACTTTTGTGTAGCACTTTACACACTAGAAGAATTACAAAATGATTAACTAGGTACTTACTGAATAAAATACTCAATATTAACATAGTTGGAGGTTCCAGGAGACTGTGGATCTTGAACGGTTTGCGTGGAATCCCTTTTAGACTCTAAAGGAAGGGTACTGCCGGAAAATACGTTTTCCGTACTGGAATGATTACTTTTAACCGCACTAAAATCTTCATCTGTTGCTACCATATCATAATAAGGCTCATCTGTTGCTAGGAATTCCAAAGACGACGATCGAGAATCGCTGGTACTTGTTTTTGGTTTGGTTTTAATGGAATCAGGCCGTCTCGGAACCCTAAGAAAGAAATTTGATTGTTTTCAATAAAAATAGCCAAATACTTTTTAATACATATTATATTATCATATTGCACTTAAGCGGATTCTTAGGCAATATCTCTTATGATGACATATTTGGCATCTAATAGTTGGTGTGAAATGTTATATTATGTGTTAAAAAATATCTTAAATATAGTATACGAGGTGTAGATCGAAAAAAAAAGGGCCGATTGTTTTGCAGATAAACTAATTAGGCATTCCAAACAAAATCGCTGTCCCCATAGCTAGTGTTTGAGACGCACTCAGATTTTTGAATGATAACGAAGGACGAGAAGTGATTGCAGACGTATCGCGCCAGATACGATCTTACACTTCAAAAACCGACACAAACATTGAAAAGATAGGTGCGTCGATGTAAAAAACCGATAGTTAGGTATTTGGACTGTTGTTAAATCCATAGGAATTGAAAAAGAAAGTGTTAGGCAGATTTTAACAAAACAGACTCATGGATTATTCATCAGGACTGAAAGAAACTAGATTTGAGACAGTAGAGCTGTCAAAGAAAAAGTGGCGGATACCATGAACATGCTTTCAAAAAATTATAAACAGTGCCAATATGGTCAATGTAAAATTCGCAGAGAGAGGTGTAGGTATCGTGGAAGGAAGTATATTGAAGGAAATCATGTAAAAATGATAATGGAAAAACAAATAACCTGTTTTTTTTCTAGCCGCACCTCAAAGAGTGCAACAACTGCAGAAAGTAACCTATTCCACACAATGTGTGAAACTTGCCACACAAGTGTGGAATAAAGTTTTTATCTGAAGGAGTAGCGCACTTAGTACAAGATCTGTTTAACGAATGAAAGTCTTTTTTATTAAATACAAGTGTAAATTAAAAATTTAAAAAAACCGACTTCAAAAACGTGCAGATGCCATCACCACATCTTAACCAAATTTATATGGGATCACCCCTGAGGTTCCCCCTTACTAACAAAAAAAGAATCATATAAATCGGAAAAGGTGGTAAAGCATTATCGCTAAACATACATAAAAAATGAAGAGTTTGAGGATTTTCTCATGGTCCCAATTTTTAGATTTTGACCAAATTTATATGGGACCACCTCTGAAGTAGCCCCTTTCTAACAAAAAAAGAATCATATAAATCGGACAAGGTGATAAAGCATTATCGCTAAACATACATCAAAAATGAAGAGTTTGAGGATTTTCTCATGGACCCAATTATTAGATTTTGACTAAATTTATATGGGACCACCCCTGAAGTACCCCCTTTCTAACAAAAAAAGAATCATTAAAATCGGACACCGTGTTAAAGAATAATCGCTGAACATACATAAAAAAAAAAAAAAAAAAAAAATATCGCGACGAATTGATAACCTCTTCCTTTTTTGAAGTCGGTTAAAAATATGTTTATAAATATACCGCAAATGGGTCACGGCTATTTTTTACTTTCCTTTCTGTATACAGACCTCACAGGACTCACACCGCACCTGGTAGGTATATTCAGATCCTCGTTGGCTCTGAGGTATATCCCTAAAAAATGGGGAGAGGCAAAGGTAGTCTCTATATCCAAACCTGGAAGGATGGATTACACTGTCCCAAAAACATACCGACCAATTAGCCTAACATCCTTTTCCATGAAGACATTGCAAAGGCTATGCGAAAGGTACATAACAGATGTGGTGATTACAACACTACTACACCTAAATCAACATGCATACACTGATTCAGCCCTTCACCTAGTTGCTGGCAGAATAGAGAGATCATTGGACATTAAAGAGTCCGCCTTGGGTATTTTCATAGACATAGAAGGTGCCTTTGATAAGACGAACTTTCCCAAGATAATACACTCACTAAATAACAGGAATGTTCCACAGATAGTTAGTGGGCGAATACACACAAAGCGAGCAGTAAACATAAGTGTAGAAGATGACAATATAAGAGGCTTGGTTGCGAGGGGATGTCCACAGGGAGGGGTGATATCCCCTCTACCGTGGAACATGGTCCTCGACACCCTGATCAGCCGCCTCAATAATGAGTCACTATACAATAGCGTATACAGATGACCTGGTCATTCTGCAAACAAGGAATTTTAAGAACATACTCTGTGAAAGAATACAAGTAGCTCCCATAATTATAGAACAGTGGTACAAGGACCATTCCCTGTCTATCAATCCCAAGAAGACAAATGGTCCTTTTCACGAGGAAAAGGATGAAAATGGAATTAAAACTTCGTAAGAGGTCTCACCTTTGACAGCCAGCAAGTTAACACGGAACTCACACTTAGAAAACAGAGTAAAAAGAGCATACATTGACGAACAATGCCGCCGAACCGTGGGGCGCATCTGGGGATTCTCTCCCAGAGTCGTCGCATGGGCTTACACAGCTATCATAAGACCTATGCTAACATATGGTGCAATTGTCTGGGTACCGAAAACCCAAAAATTGACAGCTATTCGCAAACTAGAACAATTTCAAAAATAAGCATGTCTTAACATAACAGGGGCCATGAAAACCACACCGACCAGAGCCATGGAAGTCATTCTTAGTCTCACTTCCCTTGATATTTACATCAATGAGGTTGCTCTGATGACAATGACACGCCTCTGCACGGTTGGAATAGAACCTGATGTAAGATCTGGTGAGGCGAGATGTCGCTTTTGACAGGAGGCGCTCGATACGCTCCCAATGCTTCAAGCGAACATGGACTCCATCTCACCGAGATATATCTTTCATAAGCCATATAAAGTTATAATAGAACAAATAGAAGAGCCGGAAGTGACAGGTACAATTCTTATCTACACCGATGGTTCTAAAACAAAACAAGACTCAGGATGTGGAATATACTCCAGATCCTTAAACCCTAAACATAAAATGGGGTGTAGTTCAAACCGAGTTCACGGGGATTCTCATAGCAGCAAAAAAAATCACTAGAAATAATATCACTTGAAGAAACATGTTCATCTATACAGATAATAGACAAGCACTACTCATCCTGGACAGACCACGAATTTATTCAGGGTTAGTACTAGAATGTCACGAAGCTTTGGCCGAAGTTTCCATCAACAATGTGGTCAACTTAAGATGGATCAAAGGTCACGCCTCATCGAAAGGTGACCGTCTTGCTGATTCACTAGCCAAGAAAGCAGACAACCAAATACTTTGTACCTGGCCCTTCTATTGGCCTGACAAAATCGGTAGTGACAGACCTAGTCAAAGAACATTTCCTTGTGAATTTCAAGGAAAGATGGCATGAAACAAGAAACTGCAGAGTTTCCAGGGAGCTCTTAAGTTATCCTGACAACACTGCAGCAAACAAATACTTGACTAACTATACAGAATCTGCGCCTAGTCACAGGCATTCTGACTGGTCATTGCCAAGTACCAAAAGCATCTCTATATCATGGGGCTGACAGAATCCGCACTCTGCAGTGTATGCGAAAAAGAAGATGAGACCATCGAGCATATCTTGTACGATTGCCTGACTCTTATTTATTAGATTTGCTAACACCGGCCGATATAAGAGAAGCACCTATTGGCGACGTTGTCAACTACATTAAATCTGTAGGCTGGCCCACGAGCTAGGAGGTGCTTATCTACTTAGGAAGATGCACAGTGGCACTAGTAAGGCCTAAGTGCCGTGGGTTAACCCACCCTCCACATGTTACAGATACAGATGTTGCTTTTATGTTAAATCTGAATTTAGGGAGATTGTCCACATATTCTGGGGCACTCTGTATAATTGATATGTTACCTGTTGGTTGAATATTACTTTTAAGATAATTATTTAGAAAAACAGAAACATCACATTTTTTTGTCATCTGAATAATCAAGTTATTTTAAACTATGTATTTAAAGTAATTATTAAAAAAATTATTTTTAAAATATGATTCATTTGGCACAAATTCATACATCTTCCCGAAATATTAATAAAAATGAACCATTACGCATTATTTAGTTATAAAAACAAAGAGAAGTGTGTAAGCAAAATTAAGATACAATAAACACTAGAACATAGAACACCTAGCTCATTACATTAAAATTCGTCAAATTAATGCCAAAAGCATGTCTGTTGTAAAATATCAAAGGTCATCACTTTCGCTGAATGTGGTTTAAATGTAGCTAAATGAGATATTGCATAAAAACTGATAAATGTGAATGTCTACATTTTACCGGTTTCTGTCTAGTTTTGAAAAAATACAAAAATAAGTCAAAAATCATATAAAGGGGGACGTCTTTTGCTCATGTATAGTCGTAACTTTCACCCTCTCCTCCCCATAGCCACCCCATATTTTTTTAACGGAACACCCTATATATTATTGCATTTTTCTATTCTCCTCTAATATTCGATCTCAAAAATATATACCTGAGGTGTAGTGAATGTCCCTCGTTATATTATTTTTGACATATTTTTGTATTTTTTTTATAAAAGCCTCACCTTTAAAATTATTTAGAGTGAATAGTTTTCATTAAAATTCCCTGTATATTATTTTCTTACAACAAGTACTTACCACTTAACCAATACATCTTTTATAACCGTAAATATACACATAAATTTAGTTAAAAAACCCAAATTTAGATTTAAAATAAGCGAGAGGACTACTGTTTTCAGAAAGAAAAACATTCGTCAATTAGGTACAAATTCTTTCAAATATTCTAATGGTGAAAAGAAACCGTTTGCAATAACAAAACAAAATTTGATCTATGCACTCTAAAAATTTCACCAAATGTTCCGAATATAATTGCAATAAGTAAACATTCTTAAGTTTATTCATTCATGTCTATGACACAAATATCTAGAATGTACAGTTTGCTGATATATTTAAGAATTCACTTAGTAACTTTAGTAGGCTTCCAAAAGATTTAGTCGCGGTTTCATATGTTTATCCGAGGTCGCGGTTAATTTGCAGAATTTGATAAACAAATTCCAGCCTTCTAACACAATCATGAACAAAAAAGTTAAAATATCTGTAAATTTGTAGTTTTAAATATACAGTGTGAGCCACCGAAACTGAAAATTCAGCAGAATTCAAAATTTTTCTCCATTCGAACAAGACTCGTGGTCCGGAACAAAGTTACTTTTGAACTGGGTTTGGACTATTTACCCCTTAAGTCGGTACAAGTAAAAATATTTGACTGCTTTACCCCGTACGTCGGCACATGTAAAAGTATTTGGCCCGTTGCCCCCCTTAAGTTTGCCAATGTAAAAATATTTATCTCCTGATTACCATTTTAGTCTTAATATAAAATTCAGATACGAGCTCTATTCTGGAATTCGTCAACTCATGCAAAAATCTTTTATACTTCACCACGCCGTAGGTTACTTTCGTAAGATCCACATTTGTTTCAATTTAAAACAATTATTATTTTCACTTATCTATCACTTTCACTTACAATAAATAATCATTAAAAAAAAATTCTTTAAAAGACGTTAAAAAACTTTTAATAATTTATTTGACGTTTAAGAATGTTTGCTTTGTGTAAAAAATGTATGTGGTTTTACTACTGATCTGTATTATTTTACTGGATAGGATATAGCCCTCTAAAAAACGTTCCGAAAAATTGGCCGATTTGGGCAAATAATATGGCGGACCGGATATTATTTAACATAACCTCTATTTCCATTTGTCATCACATTTGTCATTTAATTGTGTCAACAAGCTACGATGAGATGTTTTTATTGTGGAAAACAAAGTAAAAAGAGTATGAAATAAACAATAAACGTTCATTCCTGAAGACACAATATGCTTCACGTTTCCATTTTTATATTTTCTTTCATAAAAAATCAAATCATGGGTGAATTTTCCCGAAAGACATCGCCCGCAAAAGGAATAGAAGAAGAATAAGAAGAAAAACTATTCAAATTATAGGTTAGGTATGTCAAATTATCCCAAATTTCAGTTCTGTGAACCCACCATAATTTGCCCAAATCGGCCAGCATTGTTGCACTTCCGGTCTCCTTGGTGGAACGGTTTTTTAGTATGTTAAATATAACCTATATCCTATCCAGTAAAATAATACAGATCAGTGGGTTTTACAGTTAACAAACATGGCTATTTAATGAAATCGTCATAGTCAGAGTTTCAGACGAACATACAGGGAATGACAAATGACACTAGTGGTAGTTTGCACTTGAAATATAATCGAATAATAAATGTAAAAAAAATTATTTTAATCGAATAGCAAATAAGGGGGCGTCCATTAATTACGTGAGGTGTTCAAGGGGGGGAGGGGATAAAACTAAATCTTTCTAAATCTCACTTGGGGGGAGGGGGGGTTTTCGTAAATCTCACGTAATTTTTTTTTCTAGTAGAAAATGGTGTAAAATTGCGTGAAAGTAAAGTTAAATTATAGTAAAAGTATTTCTAGAATAAAATATGGAAAAATCTTATAATTATGTTTATTTACAACTATATATGTAATGTTGTCATTACTAACGTTATTGAAGGTTGGAAAGTGTCACATTACACCTCTAAATCAGAGCGAAGTTGAAGGAGCAGATGATTTCATTGAAAATCACTTGGATATGTTGGTTCCAGTAATCACTCTTGAGGCCGCGCATGAGTCTCCGTGGACTGAATTAGAATAGATTTTTTATTAATTTCCATTTAAGTATTTATCATTTAATTTTATTAATGTGATTTTAAATAATTGCAACACTCTCAAACACTAGTCTTTGCCAGTCTTAAATAAAAGTAATGGAACAATATTGTGTTTTTGTTTTTTTTTTTTTTTTTAATAATCCAACACATTTACACCCAAAACACGAATTTTGAAAAATCTCACGTGAGATTAAGGAAGGGGGGGAGGGAGTTAAGGAAAATCTTACCAAATCTCGCCAGGGGGGGAGGGGGAGTCAAAAAATCCTCAAAAATACCTCACGTAATTAATGGACGCCCCCTAAGTACAAACAAGAAATAATAGGCATAAATCGGAATATTGACATTTGACATATTCCTACATACACCCTTTGAGCTCCACCGCCCAAATAGCCAAGAGTGAGCACGTTCAGAGATAATGGTCGATTGCGAGCTGAACACAAATGCTGCGTTTGAGAATCCACATCGGATGCATCTGAGATGTAAAAAATCTTTGATCACGTGATGCAGTATACGTAAATGTAATGGGACAGATGTGTCCGATGTGGATAAAAAAACGCTCGAGATGTAAAAAATGCATCCGATGTGGATTCTCAAACGCAGCATATGTATGCTCAGAGTACTAAGACGACTACAGTTGAGACATAATTAGTGCACTGAAAATCGATAGCGTTCTCGGGTTGAAGAAATTATAAAGTCAAAATCGCAAGTCGATCGGAACTTTTATTCTAGAATTATCATGTCTCGGAAAATACATACGCACAGACGACCTGACAAATTTTGTTTTGCATTTTCGGAAAAATGTTAAAAAATACTTACTTTGGTGGTATTTTCACGGGAGAAGTATTTTGCTTCAATCCATTAACTTCAATAACGGTGACGAACGTTCCTGGATCCGGATCAGGCGGTGCGGTAGGCTCAAATTTTTCTGAAACTTCGCTAGAAGTTATCATCTGTTTTGAAATTTCATTGACACACATATTAGCCGATATATTTTCCGTTTCTTCAACATTTAGTGAAATGGTCGAGGGTTTGCTGACTTCAGTCTGAAAATCGTATTATGGCAGTAATAATGAATAAATATAATCAAACTAATTTACTAAAAATATATTTTAAAATGAAAGTAGGTAAAAGGGGAGGGTAGGTATCATTATTAATTATAATAAAAACATTATTGTATTCTAATATCTTTTTACCTAATATTATGCTACCTATTTACAATTTTTTTCTGATACCTTTATCAAAATGATACAAAATAAAATGTTTTTAAAATAAATAAACAGCAATAATTTTTTTCAATTTTCATATTTTTTCCAAAATAAAAACAAGATTGATTTTATCGGGAATTGAACCCCGGTCGCGAAATTCAAAGTTAGATGCTTAACTTGTGACGAAGTTTAAGTTCATTTCCGCCTGTTAGCATTCTGAAGAACCCCCGTAGTTTTATTCCTTAAAAATTGACGTTTTTGAACATTTGCGAGAGCCCTCGCAGATCAAAATATAATTCTCTACTGAAATTCGAATCAAGCTTTGAACGCTCAATTCTCCGATTTGTAAATATTGGCTGCTCCCACTCCGAACTACTCAGAAACCAAACTAGTCAGAGAACAAAGTATAAAGTCGGACTCTCCTCGAATTCTTTCTCTTTTCCCAGTGCCATTTTCCGAAGTGACTTAAAATTAAAATCAATTACCGCCAATTTGACAATTTTTATTTTTCGCACCGATCGTGTGAAAGCCGTAGCAAAAGAAAGCATTTATTATAGTTCTTTACTAAGCTCGAATTTTATACCGTTTTAGGATTTTTTAATTTTCGTAAGAAAGGCCAGTCCAGCAATATTGCAGCCAGGTTTCAACGAGGGAATATCGTTTTGTGAGTTCTGAAGTTACGTATGCGATGTAAGTCTAGCATTAGTGTAGTCTTATTTCGCCGACTTAATTTCTCAACATCCAAGAATCTCCGAGTCAATAAACCCTTCACTACTCCGGCAATCAGTGAAATCTTTAATTCGTTACCTACCGTCGATCACGAGGTTACGTTGCCCTCTAATCCGTAAATTTTAGTCAGGTTTAATTTTTCCGAAAATCCGACCATACTCCCGAGTCCCGGGGCAATCAGTTCAGCTAGCGCCGTTTTCTTTTGTTTTAATTTATCGCGTAGAAAATAAATATTGCTTTTCGATAGTAATGCCGATTGAAATATTTAGGATGTTAGAATGACATTAGTCGTATTCAACTTGTTGATTTTGTAATTACTTCCCTCACATTAAATATATCATTAATTAGCTTTTAGTAGGCACCTGAAAGTGCGACCGTATTATATTTATTTATTGGCCAAAAATTATTTAAAATTGCGGATTTATTTCTATTTTATTTATGTATTCCCTTGAAGCTTTCCGTTTGTAAATATACAGGGTGTTTCAAAAAGATTGGTCATAAATTATACCACATATTCTTGGGTCAAAAATAGGTCGATTAAACCGTACTTACCTATATACAAAAGTGCACCTAAAAATAGTTACAGGGTGTATAAGATAAAACTTTAAATGAATTTTTTTAACGTTGCTCTTAAACCGTTTGGCATTTTTTCATGAAATTTTATATGACGTGTTAGAATACCATGACTGATAATACCGATTTTTTTAGGTTTTTGGAGGGGGTCACCGCTCTTTTCTCCACTCAACTTTTTTGTAGTATAAAATTTAATTACAAATGAAACGTCACTGGAATCCAACAACCGTTTGGAAACTTTTTTGTCTCTTATTATTTGTTTGTAAAAAGTTTAGTTTAGACGATACAGCCATTTGAAATAACAACTTAAAAATATTCAATGGAAATTCTACATATGAAAAATATCAAAATCAAGTTTATTTTTAAATTACAAACTAATTTCATCAAAATAAAAACATTTAATTTAACAGGTGTTCAAAATTACATTCTCCTCCTGTATACACTTACTACATAGTTTTAACAATGAAAATCGAATTTTGATATTTTTGCATACGTATAATTTACATTGAATATGCCATTTTAAGTGGCTGTATCGTCTAAACCAAACATTTTACAAACAAATACTAAGAGACAAAAAAGTTTCCAAATAGATGTTGCATTTCAGTAGCGTTCGACTTTTATTTAAATTTTATATTACAAAAAAGTTAAATAGAGAAAGGGGCGGTGACACCCTCCAAAATCCTACAAAAATTAAAAAAAATATTTTGCCTCTACTTCGATTTTGTTAGTCATGGTATTCCAACACGTTATATAAAATTTCATGAAAAAATGTCAAACGGTTTAAGAGCAATGTTAAAAAAATTCATTAAAATTTTTATCTTATACACCCTGTAACTATTTTTGGGTGCACTTTTGTATATAGGTAAGTACGGTTTAATCGACCTATTTTTGACCCAAAAATACGTGGTATAATTTATGACATACCTTTTTGAAACACCCTGTATATTCTTTAGGTTGGTTATAGCAGACAACCCAGCGAGACGTGTAACTCAATGTATTTTTTTTTTGTTCGGTAAAAGTTGTTTGGGCGATTGTAACCACAACCAGTCTATGATGGCGCCACTAGTAAATAGCGGGAAAATTAAAAATGCTTTAGGGTGGCAAATTCAAACATGGATTCAGAAATAGTTTTTCTATGCAAATTTACAGGAGAAACAAAAACTATTGTTTTACACTGTATATTAAAAAATATAAAAGCTTCCAATAACATCAAATTTTTTATCATATAAATAATCATTTTAATAAAGGAAGTTTTAATCAATTTAATATAAGCAGTGAACATAGTTTTTATTACTCTTGTAAATTTCGCTAAAAAAAACTTGAAAATTCTATTGATTATTAAATAAACTTGGAAAAATAATACACCAAACTCTTGTTCTATAAATTATATGTTTGTAAGGTACAGAAAAACAAACTACAATTGCTATGTTTAGAAAGCACCTCGTATCATTTTGTGACAAATTACAAAGAAAGTCACAGTTGTTATATATTCATAATATATTTAAAAAATAATTAACAAATATTATAAAGTATAGAGCTTGTATAGAGTATATCGATACCTTTTTGTGTGTCATTTGAACAAATGTCGATTACGTTAGTCTGGCAAAAAGGTATCGATATGTTATGACTGTTTATTTTAATAGAAATCATGGAAACGAAACAAACACACACATACACTCACACAAATGTATAAGGCCCGAGTCAAGTAAGTTCCCATTCTGTAAACTGGATCGAAACCTGCTAGACCCATTCCGTACACCCCCTGCTAACTCCTCTTAGGGTCATTAAGATCAATAGATTTATATGCCATGCCTTCTAAAAGGGAATGAAGGATGACATACTATCATCATTTAAACAGTACGTTGCTGAAGGCTTACCCCTGTTATGTCGTCTGTTTGTGTATCTTGTGCGTGTGCATTCCTGTTGTGTCCCCAGTCATGTAAAAGTTTTCCTAGTCTCCTAATTTGGTGACTAGGTGGACATCAGGGGCGTTATATCAACAGATTAGTGCGCAACACATCCGCGCATACCAGTCCATTTTACAATAACAAAATGATATTTAAATTTAAAGTACACTGAATAATTGAATAACTCAAACATATTTCGCTTAGTAACAAAAGTATTGTTTTAAAATTATATATTTATATAAATACTACAATTATCTGAAAAACATGAATTGATCAATTATTTGTACAATGTACCAAAATCTGACTTTGGGATTGTCGCCCGATCGAACCAGTACAATAACAAAACAATATGGTTATGGTTGCTGAATAAAACGTGGTAAGTACTTTTACTTTTATTTAATTTTAGTTTTAGTTAATGTGTTAAATTTAAAATTCAACAAAGATATTTTGGTGTTTTAACATGTGTTTAGCAGGTCCTGTTCGTAATAAACGCATAATATCTAATTGTAATAGCGTTGTTTGTATAAAGGTAAATAGTACAAATTACTGACCAATTTATGCTGTAACTTTTAAGAACACATTTTTTTATTTCCTTCCGATATTAAGCAAGGAATTAAATGATGCCGCATAAACTTCATCATTCCACTTGCGAAAAACCATTTATAGGTTACAAGACTGTGTAAATTGACTTTGCCTTTGGTACCCTTAAAAGCTAAATTAACACTAAAGAGTAATACTAAAGTAATATTGTTATCATACCGTCAAACAAATTACCAGTGAAAAGAAAATTACATTCGATCAAAATTTCATCCAATGAAATATAATTATTACCTAAAAAACAACGATTAGATCTTGGATTTTTAAATCAAACCAGTGAATAGTTAACTCCAAGGAAGAAAAAACTTTATTTCATAATTAGAAAACAGCAAAGTAAAATTTGCGAATCAAAGAAGGACCTCAAAGCTTGATCCTGCAGGCATCTGTTTTTTTTTTAAAGTACTACATTTAATTAAAAAAGATGAAGGGACTACCATTGTTAATTATAAACTATTATAATGATAGTATAAAACTGTGACAATGTCTAAAAGAAAAAAAGATTCAAAATGATATGAAGTTAAAATACTGCCTTGAATTTTTTCTGTTTCAGATTATATGGATGGTTCTGCTTCATGTGTTTTGTTACCTACCCAAGTTTATAGAAAGTTATAGTTGTTTTATTAAAATATTGTTTATTTAGAAAATTTATTATAAATTAGTTTTAATGATATAATAGATAATACAATTATTTAATATTACATTATTATATCCTTCTTAAAATTATGGGTCATAAAATTTTACATTTTGTTACATCTTGCACCTTGTCTGTGTGACAATAAAAATGCAAAATTTTAGTTATACTAATTAAAGTAGAGCTACAAACAAAATCACGCTAATTTTTAAATAAAATAAAATATGCAGGTATCTATATTACCGACTGAGAAATAGTTGGACAAATCCCTGCCATATGGCGCTGATAGCAAACATGTTGCCATATTTATACAAAGAAACGGCAACTCTTAATTATCCTTCCACCATGGTGGACATTCTCCAACTAGTCGACTAATCTATTCGATCTGCTCTGCAGCAGGA